AAAATATTTAATTTTACCTAAATTTGTAATAATATAATAATAATATTTATTAGCTGAAAAATATATAATAAACTAAAACTATTCAAAATTTTCTTTTGTATGGTAAATTTCAAAACAAGGTGCAGCACATAGCCCAACATTCCTTATTTCAACATTAGAAAACATACCTTTTATACACTAAAAATCCAATTTACTCTCTATAAAAATACACCATAAAACAAAAACGTTTTTATATGTTGACACTAATAATATTTGTAAAAAATAAAAAACAATTGTCTTTGAAGAAATTCACTTTGATAACGTCTACTTTACTTCACGACTTGCTCACGAATAATACACTAAATGTTCATAAGTGCCATCCTAAAAGTGCATATTTTATTCCTGAATAAGCAAAAAATAGAAAGAGATCGGAGATAACTGGAGAGTAATAAATAAATTAGTCGTAACAAAACTCACAAAAGTGCCAACGCTAATTAGATACGCAATAATGGATATAGATAGATAGAAACAATTACCAGGTCAGAGATGCTTATAAGTGTCACCCTAAAAGGCCATATTTTATAATCCCAAATAAACAAACTTTACAGCTTACAATACAGAATTACACGATGAATATCAATAAATTGAATGTTTTCCTTGGTTTTTATTAAGTTATTTTTACTGCCCGGATATATTCGAATCTGAACATTTTAGCGACATAAGTTGCGACGCCGACCGTATATATACGGGTCTGCACATTTTGGCCGGTTTTGCACGCCCGTGTTAATACGTTTCTGCGCGTTAAGGGGTTAATTATTCGCGGGTCTATACGCAAAATAAAATTTCTCGTCATCAATTGGACCGAACCGAATAGAAACGTTTTTCTTTTTCTAAAAATTTGAGGAAGTTGAAAATAATACACGGGCGTTATTAAATATTCTTAATCTTTCTACTAATCGTCTTCTTCTAATCGTTTTAAAATTCGCCTACTCATTTCGTTCATAAATGCATAAAGTCCACAGTTTATCTATAATTGAAGAAGACATTTCTTTAGACGGTTTGCTTTAGCTGGACCATCCTAAGAACATATTATCTGTTTCAGTATGGTTTAAAAATCCCTATAATTGTGATCATGAATTGTGCCGATGAATTGTAATTAAGAAAAAGTCTCATAGTTGTAATCACTAGGCTACGGATTTTTATGCAAAATAAAAATTTCTGCAACTGTTGCAGAAAACAGGAGTAACATAGAAGTTTATTTATTTTCTTACTTTTTTTTATTTAAGTTTATTTATATCTTTGTTTAATAACTTTAGTCGGTCAAAAGTAGTATATCGAGATTATTGAATGTTTTTATTACTGTCTCAAATTGCAAATACTTATTTTTGTGATAAATGCATAAAATCCACAGTCTGCTGTGGCTACACGGCAACAAGCTGTTCGTTTCTTATAAATGTTATTGGGGAGACCATGAATTCTAGCGCAATCGACTGCGCGCATTGCTTATTAATAATAAAGATAATTGATCTTTATCTGAGGATTGACTAATTTTTATAATTGTAAAATGAGAAACCGGTCATTTGATCGTAGTAAGTTTTGTGTTAAATAAAAGATCGAGTTATGGAATTAGCGATTCAAATAAGAAAGCAATACTAAAGAACGCATAGTTAAATTTCAGTATTTTGCAGTGCAGATTGATTAAAAATATCCCATGATTATAAATGTCTCTGTAAAGGTTGATATTACGTACAGCATTCCAGTATCGCGGGGACAAGAGGCTCATGGAATTTTGACTACAACGGTATGCCTCATTATAATAATATTGCAGTAGTCTTCGCTGCAATTTGTGGAATGTACAAAAACAGTATTACAACTATGCAGCTTGTCTTCAGTCAGAGCTATCGTTGCAATGCACCAAGTAACAATGCTACGAGAGGCTATGGTATATAAAAGCAAACATTTTTTCAAATGAGTCAATGTTACTATTGTAAATGAATTATCGACTTTATACACTTATGACAGAAATCAATAAGCGATACTGAAAACAGTGCAAACGTTGAAAGTATAAAAAGCATTTTCTAAATTTTCGTTCTAGCGTAAACGTGAGTTCTCAACTGCTTTGTCATTCCAACTAACTGCAATTATTAAACACAAATTTCTAGACATAATTTATTACACTAGTCCCTCTAACATCTAAAAACACATTTAGGTCATTTAGTCCAATCTAAAAAATGTTATTCCGTTTCGAAAGGAGTTCGAATGTTACTACTGTAAATGAATTATCGACTTTATACACTTATGTCAGAAATCAATAAGCGAAACTGAAAACAGTGCAAACGCTAAAAGTATAAAAAGCATATTCTAAATTTTCGTTCTAGCGTAAACGTGAGTTCTCAACTGCTTTGTCATTCCAACTAACTGCAATTATTAAACACAAATTTCTAGACATAATTTATTACACTAGTCCCTCTAACATCTAAAAACACATTTAGGTCATTTAGTCCAATCTAAAAAATGTTATTCCGTTTCGAAAGGAGTTCGAATGTTACTACTGTAAATGAATTATCGACTTTATACACTTATGACAGAAATCAATAAGCGATACTGAAAACAGTGCAAACGCTAAAAGTATAAAAAGCATATTCTCTAAATTTTCGTTCCAGCGTAAACGTGAGTTCTCAACTGCTTTGTCATTCCAACTAACTGCAATTATTAAACACAAATTTCTAGACATAATTTATTCCACTAGTCCCTCTAACATCTAAAAAAACATTTAGGTCATTTAGTCCAATTTAAAAAATGTTATTCCGTTTCGAAAGGAGTTCGAATATTTTCGGGAAGCTTGCCTCACATGGCGAAAACCATTTCGGAAGCCCAGTTTGAGAACCGCCGTAATAGAGGATCGCTCAATTCGGAGAATGTGTTTACCGATGGTCAGGTCCGAGCAATGTGATCCGAGAAAAATCGTTGCGCGCACAGGGGTCGACGGGGGATCTATGAAGGGATTTCCAAGGGATAATTGTGGATCGGAACGCGAGCGGAGCAACAATTACCGTGTCACGGTGTCGCGCGTCGCGCAAACGACCGTGGCTCGTTAGGAATCCGCAGTTCGCTTCATCCGCACGTGCGAATTTCCTCGATAAAGTGCGAACGTACTTTATAGCCGAGATGTCCCCAGGCTTGCCGCTGTTTCCCCACCGTGTCTAACGTGTCCCTACGTGGATCGGGTGCTAAACGGGGTTCAGTTATCATCGTTTGGGATGCTACGTACGGAGACTTTCTCACCGTGACATTCTCGGCCTTTTTCTGGATGTCATGTGCGCCCTATGAAGTTCCTCAGGATCGCGTGTTTCTGCTCAAATTGGGTTTACTATTAACCTTTGAACTTCCTGTTCATGATGCTATACGCAGTCACTAATATTGCACCGTATTTTGGAGAATAAGAAATAATAATAAGAAACCTAAATATATGTTGTTAGATGGTGTGGACTACATGATAAATAATTTTTCTCGTGGAATATCTTTTCTCGCAAATCGAGTCTGATGAAAGAGAACTACATATTCTCCAATAAAATGTGCAATATCGGTGGTTCCATATGACATCATGATGGGAATCTAAAGGTTGAGAATGCGGACGGTTCCGTGGAACGAGTAAACAAGACTTTCAAGAAACTAGACAGCGAGAATACGTACGTTTTAGACGAATTTCGATGGCCTAAAAGGACAGTAAATTCGGTACTCATGGGATGGTATCTTAGACTCGATATACGCGCGTATATTGTGTCGTGAAATCTAACTGGTTACCGTACATTACACGTAGTTATTGATAGGCCGTTAAAATCAGATCACTCCCGCATCTCTCAGTGCGTCAAAACCGAGAACACAAAATGTAGAATCTTGTTAGACGATTGCTCGAGCGATCAAACTACTATTGGCATTATAAAGGGTGTCCCAAAATTCACGCAAGAAATAATTTTGATAGAAAACACAGGTTTATAATTAAAAATTGTAAATTTTTTATTGATTTATATAGTATACAGTATAGGGTTATGTATGGAATAGCATATCGGGTAAATGGCCTCCACGACTTTGCTGGCACATACGCACTCTTTTGTTGAAATTTTCCATGATTGTTTTGCATAAATGTGGCTGAATTTCGTTGAGACAGCGCTCAATTTCCTCCTTCAAGGCGTGGCTGGTCGTGGGCTTGTTGACATAAACCTTAGACTTCAAAAAACCCCAAAGAAAAAAGTCCAACGGCGTTAAATCGCATGATCTGGGCGGCCAATTCTGATCACCAAAACGGGAAATTACACGACCAGGAAATGACTCGTGCAGTAATTGAATTGTTTCTCGGGCTGTATGGCATGTGGCACGGTCTTGTTGAAACCACATGCCGTCCACATCCATGTCTTGCAATTTTGGCACAAAAAACTGGATTATCATGTCGCGATAGCGAGCACCATTAACCGTTATTGTCTGACCAGCTGCATTTTCGAAGAAGAATGGTCCGATGATGCCTCCAACCCAAAATCCGCACCAAACAGTGACACGTTGTGGATGCATTTGTTTCTCAACAATCACTTGTGGATTTTCTGAACCCCAAATGCGACAATTTTGTCGATTAACAAAGCCATCAAGATGAAAATGAGCCTCATCGCTGAAGATGATTTTGTTCGAAAAATCAGCATCCACTTTTTGTTGTTCCATAATCCATTCAACGAACTCTCTTCGCTGTGCGTGGTCAGTAGGCTTCAGTTCTTGAGTCAATTGAACTTTGTAAGCATGAAGATGCAAATCTTTCGTGAGAATACGCTGTAGAGAGCTTCTCGAAATGTCCAATTCTTGACCACGGCGCCGAATTGATGTTCCTGGACTCTCAGCAACACTCTCTCGAACTGCTTCAATGTTTTGTGTTGAACGACTTGTTGAAGGACGGCCAGACTGTTTAAGATCACTAATTGATCCAGTCTCTCTAAATTTTTTAATTAGTCTCTTTACAGTTGATGAAGTTAAATCACTATTCCGACCATATTTTGTACGAAAATTGCGAACTGTTGCTGCAAAACTTTCATTCTTTACAAAATATTGCTCAACAATAAAAATGCGTTGTTCTTTTGTATAGCACTCCATTTTTAATAACCCTGAACTGTCAGCTGTCACGCTGTATTTTTTTTGGTTGGCAACACTTTACCGCACAAATGGCGCAAAATTCAAATCTTGCGTGAATTTTGTGACATCCTTTAATATCTGTTATACAAATGCAGTCAATTCTTCAGAAAGAGAGAGAGAGAGAGAGAGAGAGAGAGAGAGAGAACGAAATTCGAAAAAAGGCAGCAGCCTACATATTAATGCTAGAATAAAAACGATGACTTAAATGTTTTACAGGATTTGAAGGCAATTCGGAGGCAACATGCCACGATTTGCCAATACGGTAATTTCTCCGTAATTCGCGCTCAGATTGCGCACAAAAATGCACAATTTAGGAAGAGAAGATACGATTATTCGAGCCTTGCGGCTCGTTTTCAATCACCGACTGTCAACAACTGTAAAAACGAGATGCAAGGCTCTTCCCAAATTGCCGATTTTTGTGAACAATCTATAAGCGCGAATTAGGGAGAAATTACTGTACCTATCGCGTCCCTTGTAGCTCCGCGGATTTCTTACCTGACCCACATCCAAACATACCATTTCGTGTTGTCTTCCAGGAATTCGAGTCAAAGGAGCTGCGTCGCGTGCCGCATCACACGCTTAACCGACTCCGTCAAACCTTAGCATCTACGTAACAATAAATTACATAGGCGAAAACTAGCGCAAGCAAATTAACAGGAATCCGAAATTTGGCATACTCGTCCACAAATCTGCAGTCTTACTAAAATCAGAGAAGTATCATAAAATCTCTAGCGGGCATTTAGGATAGTCGATAGAGATTGTAGAAATAGCAGAATATAATAATATTTTACTATAAACAAATTCATTAAAAGGCAATAACTTGATGCATCATATAAATCAGTTTTTTTATATTTTCATTCAATTGTAGAACATTGCAACTATACTTTCCCGAAAACCTTAGCATCGACGTAACAATAAATTACATAGGCGAAAACTGGCGCAAGCAAATTAACAGGAATCCGAAATTTCGCATACTAGAGAAAATTTGTTGTAATTACTATCGTATACAAATCAGTATTATGACATTGCAAATGAAATAAGCATTGGCTAGTCCTCGCAATGGGTTGCCAATAAAAACTTCGACCAAGTTCGACTTTGCCCTCGGCTCGTATCAAATAAAAGGGGGGACCAGAGGCCGAAGAGGCTATCGCTGATTTAGATACTGTTCCCCGTTTCCCGCGCGAGGTGAAGCGGACCCGTCAAATATTGCATTTCTGGGACGACGGAGGACGACGGAGGACGACGGAGGACCGAAAAACTGTGGCAGGATGTGCAAACGTATCGATCAAGGATGTCGACAGCGCGGGGAGGGGAAAAAATGTTGGAAGACGAGCGAGAAAGTTAAGGAGTAACTAGCGAACCGAGGCGCGCGAGTTTACGGCTCGTCTCGGAAAAAAACCGGGCGTCTTGATCGATTTCCTTCGTATGCAGGCGTCGAACCGAATTCGCTGCCGGCCCCCTACCGGTCCCTCGAGCGCCCCGTGCTCAGAAAAACCGACGGGAAACGCAGAAGGATGGAGGAAATTTTTCTCGCGGGGAAAGGTGTTCGTTCGGACACGGTTTGTTAACAGTCTGTGAAACCTCAACCGAGCTTTGTTACTTTATTATTGAATCGTTTATCGAAGAACGCCGCGACCTGATTTACTTCTCGTTTTCACATTAAGGAGCGTGTCCGGTTTTCTAGTAATTACTCGAACTTCGAGGGATGTATTAATTAGCGGAAGAACATCGTCAGAAAATAGCGAAGTGCGTAAACGCAATTGTTCGAAGAATTGCTTCTGCTTTTGTTACAATCGTGTCATGATAGAAGAGGTAGCGATGCACGTAGAATGTTAAGTATTACATGTTTATAATTATTTATAGGTTGTTATAGAAAATAAACATACTCGTTTGTGTATATATCATTGCATTTGCCTGTATTTAATGTCTATATTTAATGAAATTTAGAAATGCCTATATTTAAATATCATCTTTCTATCTGACCCTATATGTTCAGATTTAAATGAACAGTATAAATAAAACATGAGATTTTCCAATGAGTAATTTTCTCCCATGAAAGCCAGATAAATTTTGGACACTGAAGACTCCTGTAGGGATAGTAATCGTGTAGATTCCTGTAGGGGTAGTAATCGTATAGCTCTACTCCATTGTATGATGCACCTAAAAAAGGAATTTCGGTTGGAGTATCGTGGAGGTTTATATCCTTTGTAAAAGAGAAGCATAAATCCTGATGACTCTTTAAGCTAATTGACAGCGTTAAAACTTTTTGTTCTTGGAGAATAAGTTGGCTGGAGGACATGGTAGTAACGTATCGCAACGAATAAATCAAATGCATATTTAATTCTTCCGATGTTCTTGCTATTTTAAGTTGCATCTATTCACTTTTGCCATAAACGCATGAAATTTACAGCATAGATATTATTATCGAAGAGTTTCGGCTTAGGAGTGGCTCCATTCTTTATTTTTCATATCTTCTAATTTTCTAGAAAATTATCTCCGCCATGTTATTATGCGCGAAATATTACTGAATTTTCCCACTTAAACTGTATTTTTATCTCCGATAGTTTACGATATCGCTTCGGGGGTGCCAATTTCAAGAGAGTGGTTTCACCCCTTAAACTTGAGACTCGGCCGATAAAAAAAGTACATGACCCTTATTTTCGGCTCTTCCACAAATCTGCAGTCTTACTAAAATCAGAGAAGTATCATAAAATTTCTAGCGGGCATTTAGGATAGTCGATAGAGATTGCAGAAATAGCAGAATATAATAATATTTTACTATAAACAAATTCATTAAAAGGCAATATCTTGATGCATCAAATAAATCAGTTTTTTTTATATTTTCATTCAATTGTACAACATTGCAACTATACTCTCCCGAAAATCTTTTTCGACATTCACAAAAATAACGGATTTACAGATCACTTGGTGCGACGCTTCAGAATTGGAAGCACTGACCGTAAAAACTTCAAATGTGTTTCTTCGAAACTCTATCTTCTTATATTTTTCTTTCTCTCGAGTAAAAAAAGGCATCTTTAATCCTTGACATTGTTTAAAGCTTGCAGAGCATATACATGAAACCATCTAATACAAATATGTGCACATTTTATAATGAACCTAATTTTTCAGGAAATAAACATTCTTTCTATTTTATCCCATTTTTCACAATAGTAGATGTACGTTGCCAGTTAAATTGGAATTATAAAACATACACAATTGAGTCAACATTAATCAATTTTATATTCAATATCATAGAATATATTTCATCTATGTATCACAGGAAAACTGCATGCTTAAAATACATTTATATCTATATACATTTATACAATTAATATTAATGACGACTTTGATTTTTGTAACTTCAAATATGTTACAAGATTTCCTCTAATGCAATTGATTACTACAAACGCATTGTACCATCATGATTTCGAATAACAATTCCGTTCCAGTGAGATCTTCCCAAAGATTTTCGTCTCCGTCACCGCGTGGAAGTGAATTTTCCAGATATTTGGAAAATTCGATCATCTTTCCCCCATTGTAATAAGTTAGATCAGAGTCACCCACGCAATAGCTGCTGCGATTTGAAACAAGGCGCGCCGAGGGTTAAAGATTCCATAAATCTGTCTGATTGAACGGTAACGCAACGACACACCTATAGGCATTATCTGGAAAAGTGGCAGGCGCGGATTGATGAAATTTTTTATTGAAATTTCGGGTAAGGCTGCATCAATCCCTCCGATCATCGCCATCGCCTACCATACTCCAACCCGTGCTGGAAAATTGTATTTCCAGCCACCATACGCAGCAGTCCTGGCTGAACTTCTAAGCCCCCGATTTCCATGCAGCAAGACCATAAAGGAAAAATTTGACTAGCATCATAGTAGAATAAAACTTGACTCGCCGAGCCTTTCACATTTCTCAGCCCATTTTTGAAAGCGAATCTAGTTTAAGCAATTTGTTTGCTTCATCATCAAATTCAGTCACCGGATAGACTTACGAGAACATTGAAAAAATAACAATGCCTCTAACATTTTTCTTTTGATCAAAATTTGCGAAGGAAAATTTTGATATTTCTTGTGATTATTATACTGAGAGACTTTATTCAGATTTGTGTATCAAATGTCCACTCTATTATGTAATAGCTGACAACCCGAGAATTTCGATTTCTTTTTGAACTGTTCAAGTTTGTTGGGAACCTTAAAAGAAGTTTGGAGTTATTTTTATCATCAGCCACAATTCGTTTTCCAGGGTGGAAATACTCCTTATGTACTGTCCGCTGCTCAGAAGAAGTCCGCTGAGAAAAGTATAGGACCGTTTCCCACCAATCCACACATGTTAACGCCCTCGCAGAAGTAGCATAAGCGCATGCCTTATTGGCAGAAACGATTCCTATTGGCACCAAGTTAACCGCAATACTGAATTTCCACGAAACGAGGGACTCGAGTCCGGCCGATTGAGAACAAACAAAGCCTCCTGGCTCCCGTCACGTCTCGCTCCACCGTGGTCGCCATTTTCGACTAGGAGCACATCAGATGTGTGCGTTTTGTGTGGGTGTTTGTGAGTGAGATATGCGACGGGACTCAGGAGGCGTAGAACAATCGGGACAAAGTTTGCAACAATTACAAGATGCAAGAGCGTTGACTTATTCCTAAAGCATTTACTTCAGATTCCTCTAATGAACACATGATTATTTGTAATTGCTAATTACCAATTAGCATCGTAATTAACTTTTTATTGCACTATGGAGCAAATGTACCGTATTATACATATATTTTTTATACTTATGTTGTGTCATATGATATCTTGCGCTTACGTTAACATATAACATTAAGAACCTGAAGGTAATATTGAGAAGCGAAAAACTGAAACGCTACGGATAAACTAAAGGACGCAAGAGGCAAGGGACAGGGGAATCGGTCGTCTGCGCCACCGAGTCTCTTCCAATTTGTTTTGATTCCAGA